GTGACATGTGGCCAAGTATGGTGACCCATACTTGGAATTAGTGCTCTTCATTTAACCCATCCAAAGTGCACACACACAGCAGTGAACACACACACACCGTGAACACACACCCGGAGCAGTGGGCAGCCATTTTATTGCTGCGGCGCCCGGGGAGCAGTTGGGGACTCGGTGCCTTGCTCAAGGGCACCTCAGTCGTGGTATTGAAGGTGGGAGAGAGCGCTACAATCCTACAATCCCTGCCGATACAAGACTCGAACCCGCAACCTTTGGGTTACGAGTCCGACTCTCTAACCATTAGGCCACGACTTCCCCCAGGAAGGATGCTTTAGCATAGTAATCCTTGAACAGAGATCCCTAACCTTGAGCCTGAAATGTTATCTTATGCATTTCATTATGAATAAAAAGCATGTGTTACACAAGAAGTGTCAAAATAGACATGGACATGCAAAGGTTTTGACTTTATGAGCATTTGTAAGCGGTCTCTCACCTAACATAGCTGAGTCTCTCTTTCTCTTGACACTCAGTATGTGCCAGTTGTTATTCTGAAAGTTATTGTAGAGAGTAAAATACAGTAGTTGAATTATAAAAGTTAGTTTAAATAGTAAGATGCATTTTCTCTATGTATTTTGTTGTGATTAGAGATCGTCCTAAAGTCCGGCAACTCTAACGAGTCATTACTGCTACGCTTGAATTGAGTTAATCAGGATTTACAGTATACCGATAAAGGACAAAGGAGTCTTTTCAAGACCTTCGGCTTTTCCTTATTGCCTCCGTTCTCTCTCTCTCTCAACTTACCACAGTTCGTTTAGCAAGCATCCACCGCGTCAGGGAGGAAGAGGCGAGGGGAAGGGGAAAGCAGATAGCCATCGCTGACTCTACTTTATTTACTTATTCTGACCATAATTAGGACAGGATGAGGACACGCCAACGTCCTGTGCCGCTAGGGAGGAGAGTGGGACACAGGACAGGGGCATTAGGGGGTAGAGAGGAAGTATCATTCCAGGTTGTGTATCATGTGGCAGCTGAGACAAACAATAACACACTGAAGAAATCAGCAGACTGGCTGTCCCGACTGGCTTCTGTAAACAGCACAGTCGATTCTTCTCAACAGATTTTCTTTTCTCCTTCTCTCAGGTTGTTCCTTTTTTGTCTTTTAGCCAAAAATGATCTTCAGTTATGGTTCTGTTGTCTTTCTTTAAACATAGAGCGGCAAAAGAGATGGCTCTTATTATACTGCTTTATTAAATATACAGTATAAAAAACAATAATATATATGCTATAGTGGTAGTAGTTTCACTCAAGTGGAGGTTTTATCCTAATGTGAATAACTTTCATCTGCCCTCTCTCCTTTTAGGGATCTAAACTTCAATAATCTGAAGACCTTCCCAGAGGCCATTCAGATGCTGCCCAAGCTGAAAGAACTGTGAGTATCTCCAAACACACACACACTCCAACACTCAGTTACAGTCATTCCAATAGTTCCTCTCAGACACTTGTTCTGGGGTTGGCTTTTGATGTGGATGGCTGGTGTTTTTATATCATTGTTTGAAATTTTTTATTGCTGAACCTCTATTTCAGAGAGGAAAGGAGATAAAATTGGTGTGAAGTTTCAGGTGCTTTTTCCACCATTTTAAAATCATTCTAAAAAGTGAGTCCTTTTAAAAGAATGGAAGATTAGAATAGTGTAATAATGCAGTTAAAATCAAGGGTCTCAAACAGGTGTCTTCAGCACTGTATTTTGAAATCCTGAGAGCTTTAAAAATAATCACTTGTGTCCATCTGCCATCTAGCGTTGAGAATTAGAACTGCTTCATCATTTTGAGTTGTGATCAGTAATGTAGCAGTTAGAAATCCTGAGGGAGAATATCTCAGAGTGATCATCTCACTGAGCTTCTTAAAGATTTCTAGCTTAATGATTTCATAATGATTTTAATTTTCCCTGTTTGCCAGTGGATTTCATAGCAACAACATTGCATCCATCCCTGAGGGAGCTTTCCATAGAAATTCCCTGCTACGCACAATGTAAGCAAACGCTGATCCCACTGTCATGGAACACACACACACACACACACAGTCTAGTTGAAATATTGTGATTTATTTATTCATTTTGTTGGTGATAAACATCCATTATATCTGTGTCTGCAGCCATCTTTTTGACAACCCGCTCTCCTTCGTGGGAATCACTGCTTTCCAGAACCTGTCAGACTTGCACTCTTTGTAAGCAGAACCATTATTCAGTCATTGTTCTGGAACCGAATTACACTTTGCACGTTGAACATGTCAGTCACTCATACTGACACCTGTCAGTTAAATGCTCTTTTGCATATTACAGTGTTTACAGTGGGCTTTTATATGTTAATTTATGTTTATTCAACCTTATAGCAATTAGTCACACCAAAATTACAATGTTGTTGTTCCAAACCAGTAGGATTTTTTTTTCTTCCATGAAACGATAAAGGTTTGTTTTTTTGGTATATTGCACTTTTCCATATAATAAACTATATATCATACTTTAATAGTGTTTTTTTCCCCCTTCATTTGGAGCTTGACAGCATTCCCATTTAACTTTCATTGTATGGAAAAAAGCAAGTCAAAGTTTCTGCTAAGCTTTTCTTTTTATGTTGAATTAATGAACATATTGTTTTCATTTTCTTTAATTTGTTATATATTTCAGAATGCTGCGTGGTGCCAGTATGATGCAAGATTTCCCCAGCCTGACTGGAACAATAAATCTAGAGAGCCTGTGAGTTTATTTTACACAACATAAACATACAAAAGAACAGTGTCAGTTACAATAAAATCAACAGCAAACCATTTATTTTAAGTGTCCTAATATTGAAATGTCACACAGCACACCCTGAAATTATAATAAATGGCAAAAATTAAAGGCCAGTCATTTATTAAAGTTTGAAATACAGTGTAAATGAAGCAAAAACACAAAATGCACATTTCACGTCTCTTGTGTTGCCCAGGACTTTAACAGGAACTAAAATCAGAAGCATCCCAGCAGACCTGTGTGAGGATCTGACGGTGCTACACACACTGTGAGTCATACTTGACACATGAGCACGGTTTATAATTCAGTTCCACTCTTATACTGCTGACACAACTGCGTAATACATCAGAGACACACACAAGGATAATAGCACTAAATACCACGTTGTAACCACACATTAATGTGCCACCACACACTAGCATGCTTTTAAGCAGTGACATACTACTCATAATAGTTCGTAACACAAGTCAGTCAAATGTCCATGAGTGCCCAATGATGTGCCAGTTACAGCCTCAAGCGCTCTGTAATTAATCATCAGTCACAGGTCCCTTGGAACACAAAGGTTAGCCGTCACTCAAAACACTCACACACGGTCACAGAAAATCCTTCAAGCCAGTGCTGTCATTCAAGAGACTAACATATGCTCGGCATGTCAGTCATAACCGTACACTCTCCTTTCCATCTCAGCTTCAAATACACACAGACACACTCCATCGCACACAAGCGCAGTGTGCGTCAGTCAAGCGTCATCCACCTCACAGGCCTGTGCGCAGTGGCCTGTCAGAGGCTCAGCTGCAGGGGGACGTTTTAAAGTGATGTCTAATGACCTCCCGGAGGAGAGCGAGCCAGAGGCAGGCCTGCTCCCAGCCTGGCTGCTGTAACACATCACAGATCCTTTAGTTCCTGTCTAAACTTCATCAAAACCATTCCATTCCTCACAAGCTCAGTGTCTCAACATTTGTGTGTGTGTTCTGACAGAGATCTTTCCTATAATGAGATCGAAGACCTGCCGTCCTTTCGGGGCTGTGTTGGACTGCAGGACATGTAAGTTCTGTTATCATGCTACATTTTCCTACTGTTTAGACAACTTTGAGTTCTTGACGTTTGAATTCATTAGGTGTATGAAGAGGCACTGAGGTTTTGTTTAATTATGTGTTCTGCAGAAGTCTACAGCATAACCAGATCCAGCAGATAGACAGAGGAACTTTCCAGGGCATGACCAGCCTTAGAGTGTTGTAAGTAATCACAATTGCCATAAATGAGCTATAAATGCTGAAATTAACCAATAAGAATAAGGTATTTCATAGAGTCTTACAATATATCAAAACTCTACTTTGTATGAATCGCATACAAAGCCATTGTGAAATAGCTGATATACTTGTTGATCATCTGCACCTTAGTTCTATATTGAATTCTGTATTAAAGTGATTAACTGTAAAAGGTCTGATGAACTATATTACATATTACTTGTTTATTTCAAATAAATAATAATTATTATTATGAATAATAATAACAATAACAATTGTATCATAAATGTAATTAACTGAATATTTATAGTTTACACTACTGTTCAGGGTTTAGAGTCAGTAAAAATTAGTTTCTTTTAAATAAGTCCATAAGGCTGCATTTATTCGATCAGAAATACAGTAAAACAATATTGTCGGTAATAATATAATTTAAAATACATGTTTTATATTTTAATATATTTTGAAATGTAATTTATTCCTGTGATGGTAATGCTGATTTTTAAGCAGCAATTACTCCATTCTTTAGTGTCTCATGATCCTTCTGAAATCATTCTGATATGCTGATATGGTGCCCAAGAAACATTTCTACTTATTATCAAACAGTTGTGTTGCTTAATATTTTTTTCCACATAAAAATGTGTGTAACAATGTGAACTGTAGTGTGTATTGCTTTTGTCACTGTTTTATAATAGAAATAAGTTACAAGAGACCATAGATTCCTGTAATTTTTACTATGGCTAAGAGGGCTTCAAGGCAGTATGACTTTGAATTAATGACTAATTAATGACTTTTAATTAAATGAACAACAGCAGTTCGGTAATCACACTCTGACTGATCTTCTCATAGTGAATTTGCACAAGGCTTGTCCTGAATTCTGAATCTTTACCCAGAGCCATCTGTATATATTTAGCCTGTGTATCTGTTTGTTTTCTTACCGCTCTATAGAGACCTGAGCAGAAACCAGATCAAGTTCATCCACAGAGATGCTTTCCTTTCTCTCAGCGCTCTCACCAGCCTGTGAGTGTTCAGTCATAGAGTCTTCGCTCATAATTATTCACATTCATTGCATTTTAGTGGAAAAACTGCTGGGGAATTGAAAATATAATTGTCATGATTTAATTGATCATACATTGCTGTTTAATTACTTAAAGATATCAAAAGTACTGTGATGCAGTTTCTCCACCAGAGCGTCTCTGATTAAACAACAAAGGCATACGGGGCTTTTTTGTGTGTGTGTGTGTGTGTGTGTGTGTATGAATATAATTGCCTTTTTTTCCGTCATGCCATTAGGGATCTCAGTCTGAACTCCCTAGCTAGTGTTCCTACCACAGGACTGAGTGCACTGAACCAGCTTAAACTGACTGGAAACGTGGAGCTGAGGAACGGCCTGATGTCTAAGAGTCTGCCTAAACTCAGGTAAGAGCTCTTCACAGCCCCTACTCATGAGCCACGACTGATTACTGGTCATTAAGGTTGCTCCTGTGTCCCAGTTCAGTTTATATGAATAATGGCGTTACGGCCCCACCTTCACCCGTACTCTGTAATCACACTCACAGTATACTCAAGAAATCAGAGAGACCTTGAGCCTTTCTTTGATCAAAACCCAGATAATTAAGTAACTCTTTAGGTCTTCCAAAGTAGTCTCTCTCGCTCACTCGGTCTCTCTCTTTGTCTCCACAGGTCCATAACGGTTCCCTATGCCTACCAGTGTTGTGCTTTTGTGGCTTGTGACAGTGCAGTTAACCCAACACAGGATGACGAGCGGAGAAATGCATTTGGTATGACTTTTTGGTGTGCACTTTAATGCAGTTAAGCTCAGCAGCTTGCTGCTTTGGTGTTTGTAGTCGCATGTGATTGAATGAAGTGGTCTGGCCATATTTATGTGTGGTACTATGGTTCTCGTAATTGACATGCATATAAATATATGTTAGGTGGTGAGGAGGAGATGGAAAGGATTCCTCTGGTCATGCACTGCTCACCATCACCGGGTAAATACAAAAAGTATATTTTTCTCTTCTTTTGCTACAGCCAGTGAACTCTGGGTAATGTAATGTTATGAGATACAGATTAGTGCCACATAACCCATGTATACTGGGTAATAGAGATGCACATGCATGCATGATGCTTTGTTTTTTAATTGGTATCAAACAATATTGGATATACAGCGGCTGATATTGGAGATTTAAATTCTAATGACCATTATTTTAACATTTAGATTACATTTGCCATCATCTAACAATCACATAACAATCTTTAAAAACACTAATAATTTAATGATGCTTGTAATCTCAAAATGAATATCTATTTTTTTTATACTGTGCATTATAATGTTGTGATGCATAAATTCTTTTTTTTTTTTTTAATTTAGACAAAATAGTATATAATTTTCATATCTGGCATTACATGAAATCAGGTTATTGGCCGTTACATGAAAATAATTACCTGCTTATCATAGTTGTATCTAATAATAATATCTGTGCATCCCTACTGTGTACACGGCCGTTCAAAGGTTTGGGTACAGTAAGATAAATTAAATTGATGTAAAGTGACGGTAGAGACATTTATAACATTATAAAAAAAATTATTGATTTAAATAAATGTTCTTATGAACTTCCTATTCATCAAAGAAGTGGTACAACTGTTTTCAACATTTGAAGATATTGATAAGAAAAGTTTTTTAAGCACCAAATCAGCATATTAGAATGATTTCTGAAGGATCATGTGACACAGAAGACTGGAGTAATAATGCTGAAAATTCAGCTTTGCACCACAGGAATAAATTACTTTTTAAAATATATTTTACATTGTAATATTATTTCCCAATATTACTGTTTTACCGTATTTATGAAATAACACAAACATTCTTTCAACATTGTGAAATATTGATTTAGCCTCTTTTGCACCTCTCATATTTCGGTTTGATGTGTCTTTCTGTATGTTTTTTGTCTTTCAGGGGCATTTAAACCTTGTGAACACTTGTTGGGAAGCTGGATGATCCGATTGACCGTGTGGTTCATCTGCCTGGTGGCTCTCCTCTTCAACTGCCTGGTTCTTGCAGCCACCTTCTCCACACGCACCTCCCCTCACTCCCCGGCCCGCCTCCTGGTTGCACTCCTGGCCTCTGCTAACCTGCTGACAGGGGTCTATGTGGCAGCACTGACACTCCTGGATGCGGTCACCTGGGGCTCATTTGCAGAGTACGGTGTGTGGTGGGAAACAGGCGCTGGGTGTCAGGTTGTGGGTTTCCTCGCTGTGTTTTCATCCGAGTGGGCCGTCCTGCTGCTGGCTTTAGCTGCGGTGGAGCGTTGCTTGGCTGTGAGGGCTCTAATGGGGAAGGCAGGAGCTCTGAGGTCCAGTGGCCAAAGGAGGGAAAGACGAAGGAGATTTGGTATCACAGCACTCTTGTTGGGATTGGTATCTGTTGCAGCGGCCTGCCTCAGTCTGTATCACGGATCAGCCATGGGCTCTCCTCTCTGCTTGCCTTTCTCCGGAGGTCCCGGACCAGGCCTGGGGTTCACAGTGGCCCTGGTGCTAATGAACACACTAGCGTACCTGCTGAGCGCGGTGGTCTATACGCGGTTATACTGCAGGTTGGGTCGTGCCCAGCTGGCTGACCCCGAGCATGCTGGGTCTGTGAGGCACATCGCCTGGCTGATCTTCACCAACTGCATCTTCTTTTGTCCGGTGGCGGCTTTCTCTTTCGCTCCCCTGCTGGCCGGGACCAGTAATGCAGTGGGCGGACCAGAGATGGCCAAATCAGTGACGCTCATATTCTTTCCTCTCTCTGCCTGCTTGAACCCCGTGCTCTACGTCTGTTTCAGTCCCTCCTTTAGATACGACTGGCTTCGCCTTAGAGGACAGGGGAGGGCCGGAGGTTGCGGCGGGCTGGTTGGTAAAGCTGTTACCAAAGGGACGGTAGCAGGGGGTTCGGCAGTATCCAACGATGGCGAAGGCCTGTCTAGCGACTGCGGAATGTACACGAAGCTTCAGGGCGACAATCGGGGAATGTGCGAACACTGTGACGCCGCCCTTCACATCAGCACATCTTCCTCTTCCGCTTCCTCCTCTTCCTCAGCCTGCAGACATTTAGTTAAGTCCCACAGCTGCCCGGCTTTGATGGCAAACGCACCCCAGTGCTTGAGCTCAGAGGGGTACTGGCCAGACACCGGGACGCTTTCCGCTCAGTCGGAATATGGAGACGAGGGTGATTCGTTTGTGTCGGACAGTTCGGAGCAGGTGCAGGCGTGCGGCCGAGCCTGTTTCTGTCAGAGCCGCGGTCTCCCTTTAGTACACTACTCTTATAACATCCCCCGCATGACAGACTGAGCTCACAGCCCAGAGCGCTCACACACTCACTTCCTCACACAGTCCTCCAGGGTGTGGAGTGTCCCTGCTCCTCAAGGACAGAGAACAGGGAGGGGCTGTACACATGGCTGCAGAGCCGTGGAAACGCAAACAGACCGGAAGCACTTTCTCTCTTTTCACACTTGTGTGTGTGTGTGTGTGTGTGTGTGTGTGTGTGTATGAGTGAATGTAGACCGAATCCATGAAAAGGGAATCTGACGATACAGAAAGACTCACTGAGCCAAATGTTGTCAACATACAACTCGTCTTGTTTTCTGTTTCCTGTCCCCCTCAGCCAAATTCGGTTGCATTGGCACCCAGGGCTGATTGACAGTTGATGGACACAGTGATCTTATCTCCCAGTGCCTGCCTTTAAGTTTGCAAGAAAGTAGAACTTGCCTGTTTATTTTCTCTGGGCATTTTTAGAAAAGAAAAATATATTTTCCCTTTTATTCTTACAAATGTTTGTCCTTTTGATTTAAAGCAGGGATATATGTGCCACTGTTTTTAGTGATGTTGATTCTTTTTCTCTTATGCCATCATAAATCCTGACTGTGGCGGGGGATCCCGTTCTATGTAGCAAAGTTTCTCCATATACTGGAGTTCCAGTATGCCGATGAGAATGTAATGTACAAGTTTATGTTCACGCTGTCTTGTGTTCCCATTTTCTCAGAGTAAGTTCATAGTGGCTGTTATTTTTGAAAAGCATTCATTCCTTTCTTGTTTATTCTGCAAGTGATCCTAAAATCACAATCCTTTCCACAATCCCCTCCGTTCAGCTGAGTGATCCAGTAATGCCAGTACATTACCAACTGTTTATTAAAAGAAATTGTCTTTAATTTATGTTCTAAAATGACATTTGGATGTCTTGACCCAGAGCGCTTCCTTAATCACTAGTAAGTTTCTAATAATTTATTGTAAGATATGGAAATGCTTTGATGAATGAATGGCAAACTATACTTATTTTATTCCTGACAAGAATGTCACTAGATCATTTCAATATGTATTTTGTACACTGGGTAGAGTAAAAAAGGTTTTCATATTAGAACTCCTTCCTGTCCAGATAATCTGACTATACAGCTTACTATATGAAACAAAAAAGGGATGCGCCAGTATTAATATTCTAGCCAATATAAGACAATGATTATTTTAAGTTATGGTTGATAAACTATAAATGGCCAATATTAATGTTTATACTATTATGACTAAATAAATTAAAACACCAAAAACTAAAATCAATTGTTTTAAACTCTTCAACTGAATTTAAGGATCAAACATTATAGGCCTAATACAACATTTTGAGATTTGCTAAAGATTACATATAACAATGTTACTAAATTATTAGTGTGTTTTTTAAAGATAAACTGTAAGTGAACATTAGATGGTGGCAAAAGTAATTAACTTTAAAAATAGATCGAGTAGCATGCACAAATATCCAATATTGTTCAATCCTAATATCATAAATTTTTTAAATCTTGAATGTTGTGCATCCCTACACAAACGCTAACATTACATTCTTAGTACCAAGGTCCTTAATATTAAAACTTGTCCTTATGAAAACCCTTTTTTTTCTCTCTACACTTTACATCCATACAGTAACATTCAAGTATATCTGTATGATATATTGATGTTCAAGTTGCCATTAAGCTATGTCATGTGGGATGGACAAAGGGACCCAAAGTGTGTCTTTGTGTTCAGGAATATATAACAACGTTTCATCATCATGATTCCATTTGTACACCTTTGTCCATGTATGTTCAGGAATTCAAGTGAAAGGAAATGTGGGTTTGTTTGCCTTAAGCCCTATTCGCACGGGATTAGTATTACCTGGTGACCTCCAGTCATTTGTAATAATTGCGGAGGTTGTCTGTGATCTTAATCCCGTGCGAATCGGCCATGTCTGTAATTTGTAAAGTAAAAATTCCCCCGCAAATGACCTACCATATTTCGCCGAACACCGAGGTCCTGTGATAATATTAGTCCCGTGCGAATCGGCATCTCTGTGATTCGGCCAGCATTTGGCGGGTCGTATATCATTTTTCGAGGTTTTTGTTTCCTGTGCGCCTTTTTATCCATCTTTCGCGAAGAATGGAGCTGCGTTGGAGTGTTTGATAGTATTTTGGGTGCTGTCATATCGCTACACCTACAGTCTGCAAAAAGAGAAAGCTGAAAAGGTTTTGAGGTTAATGTGTTACAAATAAATCAAGCACAAAGCTTGAGATATTATTTTAACCTGGTGAAATGTAAATGACACAGCGCACGAAACTATATTAGTTTCTTTTTTTTAAATCCATCTGGACCATAGAACGGGACTCTCAAAGCCTTGACATCCGGGTATCCGGGAGACAAGTCAGTAAATTCGAGTAAAATCACAGGCTTCGCTTATCCCGTGCGAATGCACCACACGAAATTCAGATGTGGGGGGGTAATTTCAAAATCACACAAGGTCCCCAGATAATACTAATCCCGTGCGAATAGGGCTAAATAGGTCTTTTGCGGGGGAATTTTTACTTTACAAATTACAGACATGGCCGATTCGCACGGGATTAAGATCACAGACAACCTCCGCAATTATTACAAATGACTGGAGGTCACCAGGTAATACTAATCCCGTGCGAATAGGGCTTTAGATACCAAGTGTCAACACCATCCTTTGGTCTTCTAATATGTTTGCAGAGTGGAGATAGTGCCAGTCATATAAGCTCTGGCATCAACTGACAAGCCTTGCAGGTCATAGCTAGAACTGACAGAATTCCAAATTGTGTGTGTGTGTGTGAGAGTGTGTGTCGTTTAGAGATGACAGTGTGTTGTAAATTATTTTTGTAGGACACGTCTAATCAAAAATGGGATGCATTGTCTAACTTTGGAAGCTACCTCTTCAACCGTAGCGGCTGCCAGTAGTGAGTAGAACATATGGTTACGTTTTCATGTTTATTTTGTTGGAATGATTGCTTGCGCTGTTAATACATCTAGTTGTACATTCTCACTGAATGAGTCACGCATTAGTTTGTACTGGGAGAAAATGACATACTGTATACAGACATTTTTTGTAAACCAAACTATATAAACTGATTCGCTTTAAAAGACGGGAGTGCTGGTCCTTTGTTTCCCTCATGATAGTTTAGTCCTCTTCTGGTTGACGAGTTACATCTGCTTTTTATTTCAATGGAGCTGAAAGGTCCTGGCACGGTTAATTTAAATAGCGTTAGTGTCACTGATAGATTTAACGTTTTAACCTTGCAACATTATGACTGTCATCCTAAACAAGCTCACCTTCTTTATACTACTAACTGCAGCCCCTAAAACGTCACCTTCATGTCATAACAATGAACATTAGCTCTTTCATCCAAAAAATAGTAGCTATCTTTTCAATATTTAAACGTTTCATGTGGTTAATGCATTAATTGTTATTTAACCTGTCGTGCCATTTAAATACTTGACGAGATTAGTGATTCGATTAATGGAGCATTAGTTCGTTTTTATAAAGAGAGGAGAGTGTCTACAAAACAATCGTCTGCTAAACCCATGGGAGTTATCTGTTCCCTAAAACAAAAGGAAAAAGCATCACAGCCTGTGCTGTGGAAAACGGCTCCGCCAATCAAATAGGCAGGACTGGGAAGTGTGGAACCACCACACTGCCAGAAGGCATAGGGAGGAATTCTTAAATAAAGGGTAGTCGATTCTTCTTTTTTTCTCCTCCTAATTCTCCTGTTATCAGTCTCCCGATGCTTAACTGGAGGGGCGGAATAAGATAATTTAAAGCAGACCCCCTGGAGCTCATCGTCGAGTTGCGAAAACATCTGTGGGAATCTTTCCTAAGGTGACCCTAATTGTACCAACCACTTAAGCGTGAACGCTTTCTGCGATCAACTTTATTACAGTCACGCTGGTTAACACTTGATAAACTGCCATCTTTTCTCCAAACTTGTGTAATATTAGTTGTACAGATCTGCGCACACTGAAGATTCTGAAGGCTGATCTTACCTGACTTACGGTCCACAGTTTGGTGTTTGAGGAGATCTATGGCGTTCATTGCACACCTCACTGCGTGTGTTGAATGGATAGCTTTGATTAGGCAGGAGTGAGAAGCGGTAGCCTGCCAGGATTTGTTATTACCTTAATGTTCCTGGTGATAGACTAAAACCATCCAGGCTGAGAAAAAGACTCATTACTAAGACTAATATCACCGTCAGTACTAAATACGCGGCTCGTGACAGGCAATTCAACGTGTAATTAGTGATTCTGACAAGAGGGAGGCCTCATATGCTCCGGGTGGTTGTGGCTGGTTCGTGCCTCTAGATGGCAGTGCAGTTCAGCTGGTTTATTACAGTGATGCTTTCTCATCTCCGTGCAACTGCAGCTCAGAGTTGCCAAGTCCGCGTATTATACGCGACTTTGGGCTTCTTTTTTTGTAAAGTTGCGTGAAAAAATCCCGGGTTGTGGTTTTTTGGGCTTATTTTAAAAAATATGGTTGCTTGTTAGGGAAATCTGACAACAAGCAACTTCGTTTTCATTTTCCATCTCTCCAATCCTATTCTGCTCACAGGTGATTGGAGATGAGTTTTGTTCCCACTTTGTTGCAGATTGCTGATTTTTGTAAAATAACTTCAGTTTTTGCTTTTCAGATAAAAGAGTGGTTTCAGTTTAAAATGTTGCAGGCTCTTTTATTGGTAATAAATAATTGATAATAAATAATATTGATGATGATAATAAATCATCAAAAAAAAATATTGGGCTTGTTTTTGAAGCTGTGGTTGCTTGTGTATCTTGCTAGAGTTGGCAACAGTGCTGCAGCTTTACGTTAAACGCAGGAGATTTTCCCCAGCTGCTTAGAGCCTCTGATCTTTCGAAATGTCCTTCTGGTACATTCATATGCAAGTGCACACTGCATATGGACCTGCTTAGCCATCACATTAGCCTAGCAGAGAAACCACCTGCTAACATATCAACTTGAGGTGGGCTAATGTAAAGTGCCCGCTTATACTTATTAACATTAGACTGATAATTTCTCGGCCTAATATACATTAGCAAATGTTTTTGTCTCAAAAAGTCTTTACAGCTCATATGCCACCATATAGCTTCAAGAGTCATGTAAATGTGCTCTAGATTTATGAGCTGTTGTGTAGTTCTGTCGTCTCCAGTATTTATTTGACTATTTCCAATATCTGGTACTGCTGAAGCAATCAATCTACCATACAAAGATGTATGACATTGCCATTTTATAAAGTTTTTAGTCTCAAGGAGGGTTGCTATGGTGATACTAGGGCCTTTCGCACCGCGGGAACCTTTTCATAGTACCAGAACTAATTGTGGAACTACCCACTTTTTGGCGTTTTCGCACCACCGGAACTGGGTGCGATTTTAGTACTGGACTGCCTTTTTCGAGAACCAAGTTAGCTCCTACTCCGGAGCAGGGTCTAACCAGCACAACTGGTACTAATCGCGACGCAAGTAGACATTGATTGGCCAAACGCGTACGAAAACGCCCTCAACCGCCATGATTTAAAACGCTGTGTAAACATACTGTAAACATTGTGTCAACTTATTTCGCAAGTATGGAGAACAGCGATAGATGGACGGACGCTGAAGTGCAGGCACTTGTAGCAAATGTAGCACTGCCAGTTGTCGTTGGAGATTCTTAGTCCTCCTTTCCGTTCTTTCAATCGCTTTACGTATACGTCAACTTTCCATGTCCATTATTGTGAAACCCGCGAGACACAACAAAAACACAGCTCCGATCACAGCGTCCTCCATCCTCCTGTTGTTAATGTTCTTCTTCTTTGTTTCTGTTGTTGAACGCCACGCACAAATGACGACGCTGTCGACCGGCTTACGTCACTTCTTAGTACACACTCTCGGTGCGAATGCAACCCTTTAAATGGTACTGGGAAATAGTACGCGCAAAATCGTCCCAGTACTTTAGTACTGTACATTTAGTTCTGGAACTAAAGCGGTGCGAAAGGCCCTACTGTGAACTGGAAAAGCTTTACCTGTTCTCTTGGATCCATTTTCAGTTTACATCTTTAAAAATTACAGTACTTACTGTACCTAATGATCTAATGTTCATACTCATTTGAGTGAGATTAAATGCAAATTAGGTATCAGTTGAGAGGTCTGTGACAGATATTTCCATACAGGAATTTTTTATGTTTTGCACATAATCTGTTTATCAGATATCTGTCTTGCTACGCACACTGGAAAGCTTGAATCATTAAGAAAGTATAGAGAAAGGCCCAAACAGAGCCGTCAGTTCTGCAGTTTAGTGAGCTAGAAATCTCCAAGCCTTTAAATTAGGCTTCCTTCACCATGTGCAGAGTTTTACAAGGTTTCGTTAAACAGAGTCATTAGCACATAAAAGTCATTCAGAGCATAGTACCAACGGAGCAGCTGAGAGACAAATCTCTCCTAGTGCAGTTTCCGGATAAAGGACAAACTGGGAGGGCGTGATGCTGGACCGGAACCAGAGAA